AGGTCTCGGCATGTGCGGCAGAGTAGTGTGGTCATTTTGTGCGAATAATGTCTGCCAGACCCTGGGCAATGCTATGATCAATTCCCACGAACACTCATTCTTTGCCCCGCATTCCGTGACTCTCCCCCGTTCCAGATGCAGGTCGACTCCTCAGACTGTCTTCCCGCTACCCCAGACTCCCCGTTGGCTAGCAGTCTTTACCATGCGACCAGCACCATCGACGACCTCACCCTTGCCCTCACCGACGTCTCCAGAGTCCCCTCTCCCGAACCTCTGAGGCAGATCTGTTGCTGTTGCGGAAGCGAAGAGTGTGAAGCTACTAAGGCTTGGCTCGCTCTCAAGTCCAGGCTCGAGAGTAGGCTTGTCCTCAGTGCAGGTGAGTCCGAATGTCAGGGCGGGCACCCCACTATACCAATCCCCGCCACAGAGGTCGGGTCTGCGTTGCTCCAGCGGCATGAGGCGTGTGTGCACGGGCATGAGGTTTGTCTCACATGCATGCTCCATGTCGCCACGCCCTCACCTCCTGCATAGCCGAGTGTTTCTACACTACGGAGAGCCACGCAAAATAGCGCGCCTGGGCACATCGAGACAGACCAGGCCTACGTGGATGCACGAGTGGCCGAGCTGATGAAAGAGAATTCGGTGCTCGAGAAGGTCAAAATTTCACTTTTGGTTTGGATTCGCATGCGGTCATCCTGACAGACCCTGTGCAGCGGCTCACGCAGGCTCTTTTGAACAATGAAGTCGCCGAGGCGTCAAATAAGACCTTGTTACATGAATTAGAGGAGGCACACAATGCAGTCTCGAGACTGAATGCCCATCACGTGCGTACTGTGGGGTTGGACACCAGGCTATCCGCTGCCCTTCAGGAGAATGACGATATTCGGCAAGAGTGTGCCAGCCAGACTCAGAGGGCAAAGCTCGCAGAGGCGCGTCTGGTCGCCCTCAAGGATCGTACGGGTGAATAGTCCCCCCCCCCAACGAGATTGAGAGGAATGCCAATTCACAGCTGCGTTTAGACAAATTACAGGCTGAAGTCCGCCGCTTGCAAGATGACCTCGAGACCAGACGCTTACAACGTTTAGAATCTTCAGAGTCACTCTTACAGGATGTACGCTCCAGGCTGGAGGGTCTTCAAATTTCCGTTTGTCTTCCAATGGTTGACTTTACCTCGTGTCACTCATTTCCGGTTGTTAGCATGTTGCCAGGTCTGCTACGGATGAAGATCCGGAGGTCATCAAAGTCATCGAATCTTTGGTGGTAGACAATGAGATGCTGAAAGTGGACAATAAGGAGCTGTATAAATTATTGACAGAATCGCACGAGGATCTACAGGCGTTGCAGAGAGAAGTGGGGGAACAAACCATCGCGCCGCCTATACGAGGTAAAATTTCCTTACGTGCCATTGATTGGCATTGGTTGACTGGCTGCCTAGTGGAGACGTCGTCGAAACACTCTCAGACCTCGAGTGGGCCATCTTCCTTTGCCAAAGACTCGGTAGGAGACACGAGTCTAGCTTTATGCGTTGCCTGACAGGAGTCAAAGCTTTTTAGTTCCACGAGACGTCCATCCAGTGTCGAGTCACGATCCCGCCGTGCATATGTAAGGGACCCTCATCTTATATTAGTCTAGCTCACTTTGGTTGCTAGGAGCCGTTGACTCCTGAGACTGGCCGTAGACCACTCTCTCCAGTAGACTCCTTATTGGCTTCAACAACGAAGTATACTAGCTTTGTTCATCCTCAGCCCCGATACCCACCGTCCCATCTCAGCCTCGACATGGATAACGAACCGGAAACTGACCAGGGGCTGCTGCACCCGCATCAAGCAACGAAAGCCGTCCAGACCGATCAGTGGCTTGGGTTAGATGGTATCAGCCGAGCGTCACCATCTTTCATGGATCACACATCCATTTCTCCTCACGATGGCCATTCGGATTCCTCGTCACTCCTTGATGGCATTGGTTCGCCGATGTCGAGTCTCTTGGAGCGCCTGAACTCCCTTCTTCATCGCATGGTACATGCCGACGCCCTTACGCTCACGAACCGCCTTAAACGCCAGCACCTGCGTGGCGCAGACGTCAAGCACCTCTCTAGAACAACCGTTGGCAATATTTTAATGGACGTCGGCCACCTCCGGGCACAGTATCGCGCGTGGCTCGAAGACGAGAAAATGACCACGTTGTGCACACGTAAGGATCTCCGCGGGCTGTTCAAGCTATTCAAGGAGGTCCTTGAGGAGATGGGTCAAATGCGTGTCACTTTGAATGATGTCATACTCGAGCCAACTATCGCACTTCAGGTCAGCGACATGGCCATGGATCCAGCGAAAGCAGAAGCGATGGAAAAGGAAAGAAAGATAATTGGCATTGGCATTGGAGCAAGTTGGATGGCTCCATTCTCGAAGCTTTTCGGTTCTCCATCTCACGATGCGAGTCTCCTGCCTTCTACCTTGCGAATACCTCCGCGGCCAACGAGCAGAGGTAATGGAAATATCCGCATATCACGTCCGGTGCCAAAGACCGGCCCCGCACTTGCGGCCTCTGCTACTACGGTTAACGTCGAATTTTCTGGAACTGGTTCCGGTAAATCGGTGACTAGCGTATTCTCTGCACACCCGGATAATGAGGGGGCACATGGTCATCTTCCACCTCCCCATCCATCTGCATCGTCACAAACCAACGCCCGTAGCGTAATGGGCATTTTCGCGGGTGCACCACACCCAGATGATACATCAGATCCTTGGGTCGTCCTGCCTCGCCCACTTCATCGCGTCCGGTCTGTCTTTCTAACAGCGGAACCAACAGAGACAGGTACCGCTACCATAGGCAGAACTGCAGCCAGAAAACGAAAATCGTCCCAGTTGTCACGAGGCGTGGATGCGATCCTTGTCGCTCCCTCTGTCTCCCCCCGTAGTGTCGAAGATTCGGGCACAGTTGATATCCCTGGTCCACTATTGGAACGTACCCTCCACCGGCGTGGTCTCTCGGATTCTTCTATCCACTCGACGTTCATGAATCAAGGTGGGGAAGGGAATGAGAGCAGTGCTTGTTCAGCCGACCTAGCTGGGCCTTGGTTGGAGCGTAGGTCGGTATTACGAACGCTGAGTCGAACGGTGCAAAACTTCAAACAAGTCGCGTCGCACACCATCTCCGGAGTTGCGCACGCTCCTACTTCCGTGTCACCACCTAACTCCGCTCCTGGGCCATCTGAGCCATCTGATTCCTATCCTGCTTCCAATGACAGCTTGAACATCCTGCGTTCTCAGCTCCCCCGAGTCACTTCTCCGACACTTACCTCTTTAATCCCAAGTTTGACGTCTTGGGCAGCAGCCGGAATCGCTCTCGATTCTACACATCCTCGTAATGTCCATTGTGGCCTTCGGGATGAATCCGGCGCACCTCGACTAATTGGCCGGGAGGGCCAACGGAGGGATATCTAGTCGAGGTTGTTGATCATCAGATTATTCTAATTGCATCTTTCCGTGGTTCTTGAACATAAATTATATAGTGGGAGTCAACTCGACTTTTGATTATCACTCGCTCGTTTATGTCCATTCATTTGTAACATCATTGGTTAGAGAGGCCGTGCGCGTCACTCTGCTCGATCATTACATAATCACATCGACCGCATTGCAACCCTGCCATCATGATGAGCAAGGAATCCTGCAACTTCGTAACGATTGCGTTTATCCGAGTCTTTGTTGCAATTCATGTTACTTCCCCGATCCTCAAGGCTTAGCATGTCCTTTGCAAGTGGATATCATCTCACACTGTGGAGGCGCACAATGACCCGGTACAGTCGGGATGACCGACGATGAGGGCGTCGGTGAACGAGCAGCTGTCTCACAGGAGTGTTCAAGTTGTCAGCACCGGACATAGTACTCGCGACAAGATCTGACTCTGTGTCGCTGTCCGATTGGCCACAGTGGTCTACCACTACTGTTTTTTGGAGCTCTCCAAATCTTCCTCACATCGTGCAAGATATCCAATCGTTGATTCAGTTTCCTCGCTGGATGCCTTCCTCTGAACTTTTCATCCGGTCGTCGACTCGCTAACTCGGGGTCGTTACGGACGTGACGACTCGATTCAATCTAACCAAGTACTACTTATACATGAATGAACAAACTGGTCCCAGGCTGGCAGCGACAGAGTCGTAAAACAAACAGGTTACCGGTGTCTACGGAGTCGGCCATTAATCTGTTTCCAAGTATGAGGACACCTTCAGCCATCGTAGCCTGGAGGAAGATCTCCATAGGATGCGGGTCCACCCACAGAAGATGTGCTAGGAGATGTATACTCGGCTATGAGGGCATGTTTGTGAACAGACAGACGCAACCAGAACGTGAATATCACAAACGTAAATGTTCCTCGTCCTCAACCAATTGTCTCTTCATAAATATCGCTCTCTCGCGCGTCTTCTCCAGAATACTGACAAACCGGAACATCCCCGTACTGACGGATCTGATTTCGAGCGTGGTCCCATCCGTCAGACCACCTTCAGGGGTGGGTTTCACGCCGATCGCAAGGTAGTTCGCCCCGAATATAGGCTGCTCGAACTTGGAAGAGAGAATCGAAGACAGGGGTATCGTCAACGACTTGAACGACGACGTGGCGTCGGGGCTAGTCCAGATAAGCTGTTATCCAGTGTGGGGGTGATCGTAAAGGTGTGTCCGACTAGTGGATGTGGTACTGCATACCCGTTGATCTGTGAGGGCCATTGAGCCAACTCCCTCAAGTTTCTTCAACCCGCCGCCCATTCCAGAGGATGATGGTGCGGCTGGAATGGTGATGTTGTATTTGACATTATCGACGGTCTCAACAAAGCTTTCCCCTTGCAGAAGCATGGGTCTGGAATCAACAATTGTCGCCCAGTTAAGTGCCATGAAGTCGAAGGTCGAAATCAGACATAGTGTAAGTACCCAAGTGTATGTATATGGAACATCGTTACTCCAGAAAAGGCATGGGGGGACATGGATTTTTAACCAAAGACAAGATGTTAAGGCTACCTAGCGCAATGGTAGCGCGTTTGGCTTCGATTGCCCAACGGTACCAAAAGGTTGCAGGTTCGAGTCCTGCGGTGGTCATCTTTTTACTTCCGTCAAGACAACATAATCATAATACAGATTCTACGCTGTCACTCGTGTTAGTCTTCCAGACCAAAGTCTCTTTCATGAAACTCGCAAGGTGCGCTCCCGATAGCTATTCCCTCGCCAGCTACGAGCCTCCTGACCTTTTCTTGTCCATCAGTGTGAAGTAATACACAATGTTCCTCCGTGACCGCGTCTTTGAAATGATATTTCTGACATAACCCTTCACCAGAAGGGTGCGGAAAGAGTTCATCATCCTCTGGTTGCGAGGGGTCTGCGAGGAACGGATGATATAGCGCGCCGCGGGGCGTAATTCGGCGGTGGGACTCTGGTTCCATTAGTTGTTTGAGGAGTGAAAGTGCGTTTTCTACGTCGGCTCTGTGTAATTCTTCCGTAGGACATGGTAGGGTCGTATGTGTTGGTGTGGAAGAACGCGGTGATGAATGGGTCCCGTTATGCTTAGGAGGAAACCGCAAGTGTGCCGACGACGACGGTGGTGGGTTTCGACCAGGCGTAGCTTCTGCTTCGTGCATATTGTGCGGGTAATAACGAGAGTCGGGGCGCGGCACCTGCATCAATTTGGGGTTTTGCTTCTCAACAAATTCTTGCCAACTGATGCCCTCGAGGGCTAAGGATGGCACATTTGTCGCGAATGTGCGACCTGAAGATAGCATTATGAAAAATCATTCGAAATGAAAACACACGGACTGTGTAGGATAGCAGTTTTCTCCATTTTCTGCCGACCAATGATCGTGGCGATTTCCATTAGAGCCTCGATGTCGTCGCTGGATTGAAACAGGGGGAATTTTCTCGTCAAAAAGAAAAGCAAGATCGTCCCGGCTGCCCAAACATCAATGGCTTTGGCAAGCAGTCAGCTCGCAAGCATATCTTCAGATGAGAATAAACTCACCTCCCGTTTGTGATCCGCATTTTAATAGAACTTCTGGAGCTCGAAATCCCCGCGTACCCGCTCGATTAGCCTTTGAATGCGGCCTATGGATCGCTAAGACAGGCCAAACAAGTAATTAACACGTTGAAAACAAACCGAGCGTCTTTCTCAGGGTATCCAACCCTATCGCTCGTCCACGAGCTTTTATGTCGAGCCTCCTTTTGCATCTTTTTAAGGAGTTCTGCATCGTACTCGTCTCGAGATCTAACCTTGCCGTGCGGAAAATCTCGTGACGGCGGGGTATGGAGACATGCTCCATGCATAGGCGTCGACAAGTCCATTCGCTGATTCCTGAGCATGGGTATGGTTTGGCAAGGAGAATAATTGGAGACATACACTGGCTAGTCCAAAGTCACATAAGGTACCGATGCCAGTCCGAGGGTCAAAGAGAAAGTTGGCAGGTTTGACATCACGATGGATGATGCCTCGAGCGTGAACATCGCGCAGAGCCCGAAACATGCACCGGAAGTATGCTTTTATGCCTGCCATCGAGAGGTCCATGTGAAAGTCCTAAGGGGTGTTTTAAACGATGCGATGAAGGGTGGTCTAGACACTTACGCGAAAGTCCTCATTGCGGTTGTAGGGCATGATCGCCACTACCTGGTCTCGATTGCGGAAGGCGGTGATCAGCTGGCACGTGTGACGAGTTCCCCGACAGTCTCCCATAATGGATATTTCATTCCGAATACGTTCGGGGCTGCTCGTCACGTAGATACGTTTGATGGCAACGAAGACTTTACTCCCCTTGGAGTATGGCACAGTTTGATAATATGCTGATGAAGAAGGGGTATGATGGCCATGCCATGGCGTATTATCCCACTTGGTATGATACCATAGGTCGATGGCCTTGTACACAGACGAGAAAGTCCCAGTGCCTAGGCGATCCACTATTCTGTAATCGTGTGATAGTTGGGGTACGGCTGCCAGCAAACTGGCAATCTCTAGTTGGATTTCTTCCCGCTCTTCTGCGGGCTTGAGGTGTATCGTCATCTCCTCATCCGTCTCCCCCGGTGCGTCTGCATCGTCACCGTCTTCGTCCCCTTCATAACCCTCGAGGTCGCACATGTCCTGCGGACAATCCATCGAATTTGGTTCGTCATCGCTTTCGTCGAGATCAACCATGATAGGCAGCTCATCTGCGTTTGACCTTGACTTTGAAGCGGATAATGGCCGATTGTACAGCTGAGCGAGGTGATTATGATAGTCAACCATTTCTCGATGACCACAGCTGCCACCGCCATCCTCAGAGGTGAAGTTTTGACCATCATTCACTTTCTGCGCAGACAAATACTCTCTGTGGTATGCCCTGTTCCGTGGATCTGAGGAGCCGACCTCCAGGGGGTTGGAAGAGTGTTGGGAGAGTAGCATGGTGGTGGCCTGGGTTATGTGAAGAGCTGGTTTTGAGCTGGATTGGCTGGAGTAAATCAGGGTCTGTGCACGTTAATTGTAGTGCACGGGGGCGAAGAATGACAATGGATATGGTGCCAGCTGGACGCGTCGGGTTCGCGTAGTGCTGTTGTCATCGTCACGTGCGCGAAAATCTGACAAAAATCTGACAAAAACTAATGACCACCGCAGGACTCGAACCTGCAACCTTTTGGTACCGTTGGGCAATCGAAGCCAAACGCGCTACCATTGCGCTAGGTAGCCGTTGGTGGTGAAACATTAGGAAATACATACTGTCAATTTGTGTCATTATAAACGCATGCAGCATATCAAGCGAGTTCACGCCGACTGCTAGGAGTTCGACTGCCAACGGTGCTCATGTCGTTGACGGCGTGAAAGCGATCTACCTCCATGGACGGCCCAGAAGAGTCAAGAGTCTGGTTCACAAACCTAATCCAACATCCGCTCTCTCAGATTGCACCTTTCGTTGTACTCTTCCTTTTTCCTCTTATTGCGCTTGTCTGTTTCCAAACTGTCAGAAGGTTTTCATTTGGGACTACGTCATTCCTCATGGTCCTCGAAAGTTTCGGTTCGTTCTTTCCTTGGAATTGGGGCAGCAGCCAATCGAATGCCGTATCATCGCATGAGACGAAAAGGCTGAAGAAGAAGCGCGTTCGTACCCGCAGTGAACAGCTGGAGATGAACGGATATGCCAGACCAGGTATGCTGAGTCTTCAACTTTCAAACAGTGGTCTTGACCTTCCCGTACAGACATTAGACAAGAACTGGTAGAAGGCTACTATCCCGGCCTCGTCAACATCTCAGGCACATACTGCTTCATGAACTCTACAATCCAGGTCAACTCCCTGCCATGCATCTTTGTGCATACTATTTCTCACTATCAATCCCAGGCAATGGCATCTTTATCCTACCTGCAACCTTACCTAGCAACTGCTCACGACAAGGCCGTGCAACTGGATGTTGCCTCACCAGTCATCGACGCCCTTCGCGCGCTGCTACTGGGTTTGTGTGGTGTTTAAGGATGATGTATTCCCGCTGAAAGCATGTTCCAGAATTAAATACCCCTCGAAGTTCATATCATTCAATCCGGCCGCTCGAGATCATCGAGGCTTTGGTAAAGCATTCTCCTGGAAAGCACAATTCCCTCTTCTCTTCCCGCGAACACCAGGATGCCCAAGAACTATTCCAGCTTGTTTCCGAGTGCATAAAGAAAGAAATCGCCGCCGTCAACAGGGAACGCCATCGAGATCGTGGCCTCGGAGGGCTGTCGCAGCTTGATGGGCAAGCTGGCAGAGAAATAGGGATGCCTGTATTCGACGGGTTAACAGCTAACAGGAGAAGCTGTGTGGAATGCGGGTACACAGAAGCCGTCATGCACTTTGCCTTCGATAGCTGGCAATTGGCGATCCCGAGATACTTTGTGAGTTACCGTTGCTGAAAAAAAAAAATTGTGCTGCGCTTACCATGGACTAGGCAAGTTGCCTACTCGAAGACTGTCTCGCTGAATACACCAAACTTGAAATGTTGAACGATTGCATTTGTCGCAAGTGTTCGGTGATTGCAACCCATGAACGCCTTGTACTAGAAGCAGAACGCCTGGAGAAACTCGTCAGCTCGGATGCGCAAGCCACGATTTCGAAGAAGCGCAAAGCAAAGGAAGCAAGGAAACTAGAGGTAAAATTGAGAGCATCATTGGAGCATGGTCGACTGGAAGAGGACGTGAAGGGAGTGAAACTGGACAAAGTGCTTAGCAGAGCGTCTACGAAGCAAGCAATGATTGCAAGGGTATATCTACCCCAATTCTGATCCGTTGCGTGGTCTGACACTAGCTAAGCCTCCACTAGTGCTTGCACTCCACCTCAATCGCTCGCTAAGCTATGGCCAATTTGCGATGAAGAATTCAATACACATCATCTTCCCCGAAATCCTAGACCTCACACCATTCATGACTTCTGGTAGTCTTTCCACCGTTCCCTCAGTTCCAATCTCCGCGCCCCCTCCTAGCCTACCTCGCTCTACCACACCCACTCAGGCCATGTACTCGACACACAGGACTATTTATCGCCTAGCCGCCGTCGTCTGTCACTATGGCCAACATTCCTTCGGACATTACATCTGTTTCCGACGAAAACCTCGACCTCCGTCTTGTGGTACGGCCCGCTTTGCCCCGCCGCGTTTGGCCCACCCTCTGGGTTGTGAATGTGAAAAGTGTCTGCGGTATGGAAATATCAGAGATGACGACGACCCAGTCGACTCGATGTACCGGCCAGGCCGGGGCTGGCTTCGCATCAGCGACGACTCCGTTAAAGAATGTGGTATCGAAACTGTATTACAAGAAGGTTCGGGAGCGTTCATGCTCTATTATGAACGCGTGGTACAGTCACGCCCTGGAATTTACCCACTTCACGGCTCACCACGAAGCTCAGAGGAAACCCTTAAGCCGAACCACTCAGCTAACGGCGTTAACGGATCTACGGCGTCACTAGCCTCGAGAGATGAAATGGAGAGGTCGGTGTATGGTGCTCGGATTGTGCGGAGTGTGGCTGCGGGGAGAGGGAGGAGCGCATCACTGACACCATCGGAACGACGTCGTCCAAACAAAGACTTGCTACCAAACGGGCATGGGCCCACCGCGTCTTTG